CCCCCCCCGTCGGCCCAGATCGCCCCCTGGGGTAGGTAGGCAATTTGTCCTACAAAACCCCTGATAGTAGGCAAACCCACAGCAAATCGCCCCCTCCGTCAGCCAGACTTAAAACCGCGCCTGAAGCAGGTTCTGCAGTCGTATTATAGTTCTTTTACAGAATTTTCTGCAGAGTACCGTACTTACCCCTTTGCAAAGTTGCCGACGATCTTGGTCATGAGGATGAGTGTCTTGGAGGCCACCCCGCCGCCGCTCAAGTTCTGGTTCAGCTCCGGGTCCCGGTCCGATCTACCGAGGTAGCCGATGTCATCTCCGTGGGACGCGCCTGTGACGAGAGTGTTAAAGTCAGTTCAATTCTCTGGTAGTAATAAACTCCGGCAGAGGAGTACCGCATGTTTGAGAGGAGACGCCCAGTGCATTATCCAGCACAGTGTTAAGTGAACCTCTACAGAAGGAACGAAGAAAAACACTTCTTGGAGCAGAAGCTACTATTGGCAGGACAGAGATGTACTATTTGCAGTAGTTATTTGATGTTGATGCCGTCAAATCGCGTACGTCAGAATCGTATTTGCAGTACGTATATCTGAGGCTTTCGTCACTGTCGTCAGACTTGGTTGCGCCCAGCTTACCTTCAGTCACCACGCCATACTTCTTCTTCCCGTAGTTGTAGGCGTCGTCGACGGCCATCCTGCAGAGGTACAGCGGCGCGGCCTCCGTCGAGGCGTTGGCCATGAAGCCCACGGCCCTCCACGCACTGGCGTACAGGAACGCGTCCCCCAGGAACTGGAACAGAGCAAGTGCCGCCGAGTGTGGTGGAAACAGCTGTGCCGATGGAATGCCATCTCTCAGAGGAGGGAGGCGTGTTGTCGTGGGCCTCGTGAAAAATAACGGCCAACCTTGAATTAAATGGGAGCGCGACACTATCTGCCTGTTTGTGGAGCGTAAGGGAATCTGGCGCGAATTGCTTTCCCAGGATAGAAAAGCCGCCTCTCCCCACCCCCACCGAGCGAGCGCGCGGGAGCATCGAGACGAGATGGTCCTCGTCAGTCTCCTTTATGGATTGGCTTTGATCGGTTTTGGATATGCCGCGTATGAAAAACGACTTTTAGATTGAAAGCAGAAGATAGACGCGAAGATATATGATGCAGTCCTTCCTGTGTACTGTGCTCGTGCCGCGCCGCGCCGTACCTCGATGAAGGTGTCCGTGTTGTTGCCTATCGCGCCCCCGGCCGCGTACTCGTCCCGGACGAGCTGGGCGAGGCGCAGGGAGGCGTCTTTGGGCAGCGGCCCCGGCCCGAGGGTCCCCGTGTGTGTTCAGCAGCAGCAGCAGCAGCCTGGGCGAGGCGCAGGGAGGCGTCTTTGGGCAGCGGCCCCGGCCCGAGGGTCCCCGTCAGCCCCAGCTGCCCGGCCGTGTCCGCGCCCGGCAGCACGTCAGCCGGGAGGAGCCGGGGCAGCAGCTCGTCCAGCGCCCCCGGGGTCCGCTCGCCCAGGCCTGCGAGAGAGAGAGGCGGGTGAGGCTGGTGTTGGCGGAAGGAAGCGGGGACGCTCCGAAACGCTCACTCACCCCATATCTTGTACGGGAAGGAACCCTCGCGCCCGGCCAGGCCCATGAGCACGGGCAGCGGCGGCGCCTCGGGCTGGCGCAGGAGGCTCTCCGGGTCCTGGCGCAGCAGCTTGGGCTCCGCGCCCTTCGTGTTGCGGCGCTCCGGGGACGGCAGCGGCAGCCCCAGCAGGCGCACCCGCGGCTGCGGAGGACGGCGGCGAGGTGAGCGGGGAGCAGGACAGAGGGAAAACGTTCTACTAACGATGACATATTTGAGACGTAATTGTAACCTACGAGGTCACGGTAACCTCATTGAGATATCCGCGACGATTTCCTGAGTAAAACGTTTCCCTTCGGGAGCTGGAGGCCGTGAGGCTGTATACGTACGTCGTCGCACGCGCGCAGCAGGGCCTCGGCGCTGGCCTCCATCAGGGCGCGGCGCACTTCCTGGTGACTGCCGTTGCTGGGGGCGCCGAGGGCCTCGGCCACCACGGCGGCTCGCTCGAGGTGACGCTCCGTGTAGGCCCGGGGGGAGATGCCGTGGCCCGACAGGAGCACGGCGCGCGAGAACAGCTCTGCGGCAACGGAATGAATGACAAGGAGGAATGAGGCCGGGGTTGTTGTCTGACATTACACTGACTGTAAGGGAAGCAAATTAAGTGTGAGATGAGACATACTAATACAGTAAGTTCTTGATGTTGGAAATTTGATTTTTGTGACAATAATTATCACAAGTACCATGAACCAGGTGCCCAGTGAGAAATGAAATATCAGACCGATATCGAAACGATATCGAATATCAGATGTGTCAGTTTCAGAGCCATCTCAGTATCGAAGTGATGCGAAAATTGACAAATGACATCGTTCTGATATCAATCCGATATTTCATTTCTCACTGGGTGGCTTCTATTTCGTATGTTTTCGCCTAATTTGTTTTTATTAATGAAACAACCCAAAGAAATATTTTGGAACGAATCAACATTCGTTTTGGAGCGGGGATTTTTTTTTTATAGGTTAGGTGACTTGAAGAATCCAAACAGGAAACAGGAAACTGTATACGCTATACGTTACTGCGCTTTTCCGTGTTTACCCCCTTTCACCTCTTTACCTAACCTGAAAATAATATTTTCTTTAGGTAGATGAGGGAATTGATTTTTACCTCGGGGTTTACGCAGTAGGGATAGGATGTGGACCAGGCTGGCCCCAGAGGACCAGCTCAGAACGGTTGTCTTAGAGGGGTCAACGCCAAATGCTGCGATGTTGGTTTTGACCCATCGAAGCGCTGCCACGATGTCCTTCAGCCCCGCGTTGCCGGGGATCTCATCCGAGTCAAGACTGAGGAAGCCTTGGGGGTACAGGCACGGACAAGACGTGGTAAAGTAAACGTGAAGAGCATTTTTACGACACTGCTGGACGAGCGCAGCCTTCACACCTCCGTACCGAAGGGTCCGGTGCGGTAGTTGACGGAGACGACGACGACCCGCTGGGCGACGAGGAAGTGGGGGCCGAAGTGGTCCATGCGGCCGGAGGCGAGCAGAAGGCCGCCGTCGGGCACGACCACGACCACGGGCAGCGCCTCCGCCCCCTGGCAAACAAGTAGTGCCGGCCGTGCTAACGCCAACCGCAAACCGACGCCCACCGCGCCCGGCCCGTCGTATAGTATGCGCACGCCGTGCCGCGCCGCCCGCCCGTCCCAAATTTGTATCTAATTGGCCTCGGAGCGTGCGTCCGCGGCGGCTCGGCCCGGGCCTCCTCCTGGACCCGGCCGGCCTGCGCGCCGGCGGTCCGGGACAAAGCAGACAAAGCGGGCGGAGCAAGAGGGGCGCCTGCTTTGCATTGCGGAGGAGCGGCGGCCCGGCGGCGGCCCGGCGGCGGTCGCTTAGAAAATTTGCACACGCGTGCGGGGGCCGCGGGCCGGGCCGGCCGCCCCGGAGCAGCAGCGCCCGGTGGAGCCCGCGACGCATAACGGAGAGAGAGAGGCCCCCGCACGTCGCGCGCCGTCTCTGCCCTTACCTCTGGCCTGTACACGTTGAGGTACAGGCAGTCCTCCTGGCCGACGACCTCCTTGGTCGCGCTGCGGTCGTTGATCTGCGCGCAGGCGGGCGGGTCGGCGGTCGCGTCCCGGACACCGTCCCAGGGTTGGGCGGGTTTAGGAAACTGCGGCAGGAAGAGTCAGTGCATCTTACGAGCTCGGGTACCTAAGGGGTGCAGAAACCCGACCAGGAGACTTTACCTTGTAGCGCAGGGGGCCGAGGGGCGGCTTGGCGTAAGGAATGCCGAGGAAGGCGTCGAAGGCGGGTGCGCCCCGCTCGGCCGGCACCCGGAGGCCGCGGACCTCGCCGCCGGCGGTCGTCGCCGAGGGGCTGGACGGTGAGCCGGAGGCGGAGGCCGAGGCGGCCAAGGCCTCCCTGGGGACAGAGAGCAAGGGTGGTGGTGAGGTGGGGGCGAGGGAGCACAGCGGGAGGCCGGCGACGAAGCGCATTTGCAAAGCAGATGAGGGGCGAGGCCGAGGAGCACGGCTACTTGAGGACCGGCCGGCAGCCCGAGCCGGCCCGGTCCCGGTCGTCCTCCCCGCCGCCGACTGACACACTTAGACGCGCCCCGCCCAGCCCCACCCCGACACGGCAAAACAGGAGCTCGGCCCCTAAAGCGGCGCCCCTGCCCTAAAGGGCTGGTGCCCGCCCCGCCCCGCCCCGCCCTGGAGGTGCCCGCTGCTCGCCGCCGTGCCTTGTACTCACGCAGAGGCCGAGGCGAGGGCGATGACCACCGACAGCGCTGCGGCTGCCACCCGGCGGCCCAGGGGAACCGTCATGCTGGACGCGCTGGTGTGAGTGGGCTCCAGGAGGAGACTGCGGCAGCGCGTGCCGTCGCGCGTCAGGCCCGCCCCGCCACGCCCCGCCACCGCCACGCCCCCGTTCACACCAGCCGACGGCGGGCGCGCTATGGTGTTATCGGGGAGCACGAGGCCTGCAAGGACACGCCGCTCTACGTCGCGCTGCTCCTTACTCCTGGCGGCGGAGACCGAGCACTACTTCGCGTCCCAGCAGAACCAGCTTCACCATCATCATGAGCAGCAGCGAGATGGGCATGGCAGAGCGGGGGCGGGGGCGACGCGGGGGCGGCGCGGAGGCGACGCGGGGGCGGCGCGGGGGCGGCGCGGAGGCGACGCGGGGGCGGCGCGGAGGCGACGCGGGGGCGGCGCGGAGGCGACGCGGGGGCGACGCGGGGGCGGCACAGCACAACGTCCCTGCGGCCAGCGGCTGCCGTGGCGCTCTGTCACTGCTTTCCACTTGAATCGCACGGCCCGCCGCGCCGCCAGCGTGGTGGTGGGGAGGCCGGGGAGGGTCGTTGATGACAGGTGCTCGTTCACCTGATGCAGCTGCGGCCATGTCATCAGCTCCCCCTCTCCTCCCCCTTTCCCCCAACTCCACTCCACTCCACTCCCCCCGGTGACAGATAGACATACGAAATGTAAGTCCCCCTTCCTCCCCTCCGAGGCTCCTCCGGGTCACGGTGATAAAACTCACCGGGAAACTAATGCGAGGGCACGGGCCTGTTTATCGCGAGGTGGAGAGGAGGGGGAGGAGGAGGCAGAGGGTTGGAGGGGGGAGGGGGCAGCGACGTCGCAGGGCGTAATGACGAGAGGGCGCGGAGCCGCGGGTGGGCCGGGTGGGCCGGGTGAGCCGCGCGGCGCGCCACAGCCTTGTACGGCACGCCACCTGTACGGGCCGCGCCCCGTCACATAACAGGCCAGCACGGCGCCCGGGATTACATCGGAGCGCCTCGGCGCCGCGGCGCTCCGGCCACGTCCCATCAGGTCCACAAGCCACCAGGAGGGGGCAGGGGAAAAGGGGGGGGGTGACGAAGGCAGCCCTGCGTTAGGAGCTTCAATAACAGCACATGCCGGCCGGTTTCACGAGCCCCCGACGCCCCCGGAGCGCCCCGCTCCCGCTCCCCCCTCTCCGTCCTTGAAAGCCAAATGGACCCCATCCAGCACCTCTCCCCCTCACCTCCCCCCCTCCGCGCGCGAGTCTTCAGTGGAGACACAAACGATATTAGATAGCTAAAGTAAGGGAATAAACAACACTTTATGGGGCAGCGGCGGCAGCGGGGGCCTAACGTCGCCGACCCCTCCCTCTCATACCCTTCTCCTCCTCCCGCAGCCCTTTCACGTACCGCCCCGTGAGCGCTATTTTCTCTGTACTACATGAACTGCAACACCGTGACTAAGGCATTTGGGGGAGGTGGCACGAGCGAGGAAGGGGGAGGGAGGCTCTGTAAGAGGCTTTACGAAATGGAATACGGACGGGAAGATAACGAGTGCGACGACTACAAGTTATGAAGTCCGAACGCAAAAGGAGGAAATAAAGGTGGAATGGATGTGGCTCGGAGGCTGAGGCAAAGAGCTATCGGTCGCTGTCGTTCCGAGAGAAAAAGAAACGATCGCGGAGCAGAAGAGGTATAGCAACACAAACATAGAAGCTGATGTAAGATATAGGTTGTCAGCTCCGGAAAAGTATCAATTTGCAATAGACACATTATGCCGCACGTATCAGAGTTTTAAGGTTTGGTTTACGATCTCCCTAGCTCTGAATTGAATGTATCCTGCTGAAGAGAGTACAGTACGCAAACCCGTACCAGTGAGAAATGAATTATCGAGAAAGGGTCGATCGACATCGATTCGATTTTGTCCACAAAATCGTCGAGAATTCGAAATCGACGTCGATTCGAGTCGATTTCTCACTGGAGGATCCCCGAGGAAGAGGAGTATTCTCAGACAAACCAGGTGGATTTATATTCAATTTTCTTATGGTTTTCCTTTGTCTTTTATTTCGTCTGTTATTACTCGGCAACATCCTTTTCATTCGCCTTTGTTATACTGCCGCGCCCCGAAATACTTTACGATCATTCCATCGCAATTCCCCGTTTGCCAATCAGAAGTCCAGGTGGGCAAACATCGGGAGGAATATTCAAACGTCGCCGTCGTCCAATCCAAAGAGGCTCTCCTCTTGCCGATATTTGGCGTGACAACAAAACAAAATGTCCCAAAATTGGCTGACAATGCCGACGGACAAACACTTTTCCCCTCCACCTTGCCTCACCTCTCTACTCTCTCTCTCTCCTTTCCGCCGCAACGCTAAATATTTGCCCACGCTATGGCAACACGCCGCCGCCGCTGGAGTAGAGCCCCACCTGCCGGCGCACGGGGTAGCGCCACTGTCGCCGGCCGCTTCGAGCTTTCGCGGGGGGTACCGACGGTCCAGCAGCGGGGAGCCGCGCAGCAGCTCGCAGCGCAAGAGAACAGAAGCCGAGAAGAGGGACTTCCGGCCCCGGGCCCGAGCCCGGCCCCGGGCCGGTGTGGGTGCGGCCGTCGCCTGCGTACTCGGCTGCGACACGAGGGCCGCGCACGACGCACGTCGGCGCCGACACAGAGAGCCGCGCGAGTAAACACAGTTAATTGCACCTTCCCGCGCCACGCCGCGCCACGCCACGCCACGCGCCGCCCGTCCCAATTTGCCGGGAAATTGCGGCGTGCCCGCGGGGCCTGGCCTGGTGGCCTGGGCGGCCGGAACGCGTCCACTCGCCGCTTTTGCTAGCGTCTAACCACCCTTCCCCCGCACCCCGCCACCGCAGCCCCGGCCCTCGTCGGGAGTGATAACAGAACTATTAAAAAAAACGGAAGAACGTCATTCCTCCTCCGGGACTTATTGCGCCTCCTGGACGCCCTGGACGTCAATCGGTCCGGTGCCTGTCCTCTGCCGCGGGCGCCTGCGGACGTCACTACGTCACTTACGAGGAGGTGCCGTCCTACGTCACTCGGATAGGAAGGCCAGGTCAGCTTGGGCCCCACCACGGCCGCCGCCGCCTCCCGGAGGAGGGAGCCTCGGCGCGAATCTTTGACACTCCAAGACAATAGACGAGCAGCTTTTACAAGACGACTCGGTAATGCGCCTCGTCTCGCCTCCAGCAGGTCGTGCGCGACCCGTCACGACGCGGAGCTGCGCCGAGCTGCGCGGAGCTGCGCCTTGGATCGAGCCACCAAACGAGTCGCTGACGACGGCAACTTACGTACGTACGAACGTTGTACGTACGAACCGCGGCGCGCAGCACGTCCCCCGCCTGGCAGGGGAGCGCCTGACGAGCATGGGGTAGGCCACCCCACAAGGCAGCCGTGCCCGGCGGGACGGCCCACCCCACGGGCGCCAAGAGCTCCGCAGCGCAGCGCGCAGCGTGCACTGGAAGGCCCACGGGCACGCCAACCACCAACCCATGTAAATCCAAGTGTAACAATATGACGTGAATGAAACCATTTTGGAAACTGAACTGAAGCGTGTTTGAACTCTCTCGTCGCCGTACATGGAGTGCAGACATTTTCAGACAGTTCCTACGGCTGTCTCTACCAGGAGGGAAGTCACCCCCTCCCCCTGCCTCTTTTCTATTCAGAGCATGCACATGCACTCAGACACGAGATCAGCCTTTTCAATTACAAAATATATTGTTATCGAGATGTTTAAGCGATACAGCCTCATCTTCGTCACCACCCCACGACCACATACATTGTGCCCGCATGTAAACAGCACCACACCCACCACGGCCGACGCACCTCCAGGTGCTCCAGGTGGGGTGGGGGGGAGTCCTGACCGGGCAGGAACTCGTACCTGCCCCCTCCCCGCCCCGGCCGGCGGCTGGCGGGACGCGCCCGGCTCCTCTCAGTCGCGACAAGAGACCGGCCGGGAAGTGATCCGCGGGCGAGAGAAGCTGCGAGTACTCGAGTGCCAGGGTGCTTGTGATACAGGGACGCTCAGGATGTCGACGACAGCCTCCAGGGTGGCGGCGGCGCTGACGTGCGCCGCGTGCTTGCTGCAGGTGTGGGCGGTGCCGGCCGGGACAACCCCGCAGCCAGGTGGGTCCAGTTCTATGCCCATCAACAAAGCCGGGGATGAGTTGTCTGCACAATATTCATCTGCTGCAGCTGTAACGTGCGTTGCATAAGTTACCTGTTAGTTAAGGGGCTACCATAAAAGAGGGCTGAGATAACGGTGATAAGCCGTGATGACCCCGATGGCCGTCCGACAGAAACCATACTTTTGGTTCTCACAACCATACGTGTACGTCACTGAGAATTCTTTTTCTGACCGAGCACTACATACACTTAGTGTCCAGAACGAAGCTTTTTGATTGCACTATGGCTAGCGCTGGGAGATAAACGCAGCATCACAGCCCAAAAAAGTCTACTAAACTCAATGTCCTGGTAATGTGTCATTTAGAGCTAGGATGACAAAGTTGGTGGCTCCATACAAACGTTTGGTGCGCGAACGGAAATATTTTTCTTAGTGGGGCTTGAACCGGGTTTTATGGTGGTCCCTGCAATATAGTCATTGTTAATTTCTGCAGTTCCACAGCCGGTCACAGCTATCATTTATTAGGGGTTGTACAGTACTAGTTCTAAAAGCATCATTCTGAACAGAGGGAAGTGGACGTGGGAGCCAACGGGATGAACGAACTAACCGAATTAACCATGCTATGCAAATTAAGGAGTATCTGCATTGCACAGTACCCTAAGCATCCCTGTGCAAGTACAACAGGCTCATGCCCGGATTGGCCTCGGAGCAGGTATACTACTGTGCCGTTGCCGGCCCTGTCTTCTCCAAGACTGCGGCAAAACTCGTTATATTATCATTAACGGCTTTTCGTTTTCTTTTTGGCCAAAGACGGAACACAACACGTCAATTATTCTGTTCTCTCAAGTGTAGTATGAGCCTGCACTCGACTCATAGCCGTGTTGCAGCGTCGAATAGAATTATTTACTTTTCTTTTTTTGTTTTTGCCGGGCGATGCAAACCCATGTGTCACTGTGTGTTGGTGATGGTGACGGTAACGGTGACGTGACGTTCCTTGGTTTAAGATCGTGACAGCTACACTGTAAGAAAAACCAACAGCCACTTGCTGTACAATACAGCGTTGTACTTTGAAATAACAATATCATATTGTTATTCCAGTGGTTTCACCCCACAATATACAATGCAAATTTAACAATCCTCTACTGGTTAATAATTGACAGCGCCAGACTGTTGTTAAATTGTCGGTTTTTCTTACAGTGTAATAAGTGTTAGCAGGCCAGCGATCGGTATACCATTTAGTTGACCCCGTCGGTTGCGCCTAAAATTTTATGCGGTCAATGGTTTTCTACGCATCTGACTACAATTGGTTCATAAAATAATTTGCCAATAAGATCACTTCATCACGTTTGAACAAAGAGCGAAATATTTTTGTAGCTGGCAATATGTAAATAATAAATAATGAAGAAAAATAACAAAGAGCTACGGGAAAGAAACGGAATTGTTTTGCGCTGCAAATTCGATAAAGAAACGTCATCGCCATCGCAAGACAATGATAACTGACAGGTCATTTGTTACTCACGAGCGGACGCTCGGGCAAATAACAGCAGTAATTTTTTAAGAGTCACAGCCTCCTCATGCTTTTTACTTTTTTCCCTGTGGCTTGTGTAGAGCTAATAACTGTACATTTTTTGGCATTAATCAGACAGCGATTACTTCTTTAAACAATGAATATTGAACTGTGTCGCATGGCAATGAGTACGGGACCAGGCGGGGTCGTGAGCTCTACTCATACCATCCGAAACCGGGTCAACTTAGTGAGCCATCAGTTTTTGTGACTCCGCAACAGTCACTCTCGGACAACCTCACCCCATCAGTTCAGTAAGAATTTTGTGTAGCGAGAGTGATCGAATAGTAACTGTATCGATAAAATCAAATGCGAGATCAAATAAGAATTAATTTATTTTCCTCTTGAATGTCGCTCTTTACGTAAATATGTACAAAATGCCCATAATTTAACATGGAAACTTTTAGTCTGATCTGCACTTTACTTGATGTCCGATCTCAAACATCTTCCTGCCTAAATTTAGTCTATCCAGTCAAAATTTAGGCAGAAGCAGGGGTCTCACTTTGACAGTCGAAAACTGAAAATATCTCAAATAAATGAGCTTGAAAATGAGTCCATTGTATGAGCCGAGTATGAGTTTTACATGTTTACTGAGCATGCGCATGACATTCGCCGAGCGGACGTACCAGTGAAAGTCCACGCGTCTGCAAACTTCACCGTTACAACCAGCACAGCAAGAAGAGCGGGGGAAAGGAAAGGGGTCGAAGAGTCGGTTGTGAATCGGGCAGGGGACGAGTCGCAGGATTACTTTACTGTAGAAAATCTACTCAAATCGGTTTTTACAATTGTTTTAATTCCTTTTCGGTTTTTTAATCCTGCAAAGACGTTTATTGCGGGGAGACGTTTTCTTCTTCTTTTCTCGCCTTCCTAAGGTGTTTTGTAGGCTTGTTATTATTCTGTTCGTGATTGCCTTTGGTGCAGTGTCGCATTTGATTATGATGGTCGTGCGAACGCAGCCTTGTCAAAGCCAGCGGATGAGAGTCAATTATGAGCAGATAAACTGCGAGGATTTAAAAAAAGAAAAGGCTGTAGATGACGCGTTACCTCCGGGAGGCCGTTGGCCTCAGGATGAATAATTGAGTGGGGGGGGAGGGGAGGTGATTCAGGGGGACCCTGAGACTAGAAAACTAGAGCATAAAGCCAACTCTGCACCCTGCGTCACAGGGCTACTACAAGCAAAGACACAGCAATATGCGGGCTTGCCTACTCGCTCTACCCTCAAGGAGCCATGGCCCCTCGGGTATGCAAACTAGCTACACTGCTGTGTCGTAGCCCTGACACGAGGCAAGCCTGCCTCCCCCCCCCCCCTTTCCTGCTAGGCGTTAATGCCTTTGCCGTTTTCGGTAAAGGGGGTTTGATTTTTCAAAAATTGTGTTTACAGAAAACGCAGTGGCTCCCTGCCAGCTAAATTCAACAGACCTGAACCAGTGCATCGCAAGAAATATAGAACATTTTCTGCAGACGGCTAAACACGGTAATTCTTAACTCCGATTCATGCAGTAAAACTCTTACCGTACTGAAGACATGTGACAAAAAATCCTACGCTGTTCTGTTGGTCTGCAGGCCTGAGTGAGGTGGGCATAGACGCGCTGGATCCGCTGGCCGTCAAGGAGCTCGAGCTCATAAAAGGCAAGGGCAAGGTGGCTGTGACCTTCGAGTTCCACGACGTTCGCTTCAAGGGATTCAGCAACTCGGAGGTCAACTCAGCACGGTGAGCTTGGTGGTGCAGTATCTTTGTCTAACGGAGGAAGAGGAAAAGTGGGTAGAATAGATATACCCACTGAGAAATGGGAGCTCCGCTCGAATCGGCCTCGAATCGACGTCGACTGCTCGATTGGTCGGGGGGTTTAGGTACCGCTGACAGCGGGGCAATGAGCTGTGTGTTCAGGTGCGGCTGAGGGTCTGGCTGACTGGGGGCGATGCACTGCCGGTTGCCTACATTCAGGGGTTTTGTTGCGCATATTGCCCTTCTTTCAGGCGGCTCATTTTACCGGGGCGGGGGCGACCCCCCCCCCCCCTTGCACAGTACCCTAAGCATCCCTGTGCAAGTACAACAGGCTCATGCCCGGATTGGCCTCGGAGCAGG